ATCACCTACTCAATCAATCAAAAAGTCTTATTTATTGGGGACACGTATTATGCTATTTACTATTCCTTAATGTCAATAAACAAAACAATGAATTTTTAAAAACATGTTGTCGGTTTGTGAATAACACCGAAGATACGTGATCTGATTTTCGAGCGGTAAGAAGTCGAGTCACATGGCCATCCACGACACAGACTTTCCTTGTTCATTTAGCATGGCGCCACAATGTGATATGGATGTTGTTGTGGCAAGTTGAGCTGTTTCGATCTACTTTGTTTTAAGGAAGAGAAGAAAGAGACACATGTGATTCGTATCGAACCGCTGTAGAATTTGATGGTGATGAAGAATCCGTAAAGTTTTTATCACTTTTTACTCTTCTTTTTAACCTCCAAGTACTCCAGCTTCAGCCGCAGATATTTGGGAAGCCGCCTTGAGGCTGGGGATTCCCACAAATTTTGGCCTGAAATTGGTCTGTGCGAGGCCTGCGCTGGCCACGTTCAGGCCCGGTTAAGGCCCAGTTCAGGCCCGGCGCTGGCCACGTTCAGGCCCGGTTCAGGTCCGGTTAAGGCCCGGTTCAGGTTCGGTTCAGGTTCGGTTCAGGCCCGGTTCAGGCCCGGTTCAGGCCCGGTTCAGGCCAGGTTAAGGTCTACTCTGGCTTGCGCAGGTCTCGATCAGGCCCAGCCTCAAGGCCCGGCCTGTACGTGGATGGTCGACTTTATGAGTCAAACCCCCCCTTTGTTCCCTCTCAACTAGGGTTCGAGGACCCTGTGTCGGAATCTCCGCAATTTCATGTTTAATAAGTATTAAGTCTATAACCCAGTTGTGAACTTGCTACCTACAAACCCTTTACGAAACTACTAAAATAATATCTGCCACTGTACAAGCTACCTACTAAGGTCCCCTCTCCACTTGTCTTGGCTTGCTAGAATAGGCTAATACTAACAAGGTCACCATAGCAGAGACTGTGCTCACCATTTCGAAACTTCACGGTGACGTTAAAGATGATTCCAGTAGGGAACGGGATAACGGGTGCCTACATCCCTCGTGACTCATCAGAACAGAAAAAGATAGGACTAGCGCTAACATTATTTAAAAACAATAACAACAACCAAGTAACAGAAGCATGTCTTCGTAATGATTATTAACATAAGCACCATCCCACATCATCACTTATGACCACCATCACCGTCATTTCTAAAATCATCATTGCTCTCAGATCCTTCACAAACATCTATAATTATCTTGAAATCTATATGTAACAGTTATATATAACATTTGTATGTTATAACAATGACGTACGTTATACATTATTGGGCACTCTCATACGCACTTTTTTCTACTAAGCTAATTGAGGCTGTCAATTTGATAGAAATGGATAAGGGCCAAAAAAAAAAGAATAAAAAAGGAGTTAGCTCCTTCATCTTTTTGAGGTAGACTCCACCATTCCAATTTTTAGCTTACTTAATCAGTGTTTGTAACTGCTTATGAAAGTGCCTCGAAAGAAAGAGGTGAACAAGGTATTTAAAATGCAATGAAACAGTTTTCAGTGTTGTGCGCACAGCTCAAATTTAAATCATTTGAATTCATGAGGCCTACGCCTATGGGTGTATTTGACGGCAACGATGTTCCCAATTACTTAAAGAAAATCAGTACTTATTTGATTATGTCGACACTTAGCCTCTGACCATCGCCATAATGTAATGTAAAACGCTTAGAGCTTGCAGTCGAGCGGGGTTATGCGTTATACAAATTGTTTATTAATATTTCTTTTTTATAATAATTATTATTCTTACTATTTGCTGAGCCGCATTCTCGCCAACCCTACCCTGTGACCGGTCTTGTTATTGCTTACTGTTTAGCCTGACGTGGCCAGCTCAATCCCGGGACATTACTGAAAGGGCCATGTTCGTAACATTATGTGTATGTTACCGTGGCGTTTCAAATTGAAAGGGGGGATGGGAGAGAGAGAGAGAGAGAGAGAGAGAGAGAGAGAGAGAGAGAGAGAGAGAGAGAGAGAGAGAGAGAGAGAGAGAGTCT